AGCGGGGAAATCAAAAGAACTAGGAATCAAATTGATGTGGCCTTACAAGGCAATTAATCATAATAGATAAAAATATCAATAACAATGAAAAATTATCTAGGCATTCCAACTAAATTTTCAAAGGTTCAAAAAGGAATAGCAAAAGTGTGTCAATAAATAGTATTTTGCTTCAAAAATTCTTAATAACTTTTCAATATTATCAATGTTATGTGGGAACCACGAATTCTAATTTTCAACGAACTACAAATTTTACATAGGAATGTATGCAGACTTTGGCAAAACCACAAAATCAAATATCCACGAAAATGAAAAGTATTCTCAATCCACGAAAAATGGTACCCACGAAAATAAATGAATTCACAGTATAAAAACATATACAGTGCGTTCCAATACTGGTCTTATTTGTGCCGATTTGTATGACGAATCTCACATTTAACAACTAAAACTGACAAATCATAAAAAAATCACACATTTGTAAAACTTTGTGTCCTCAGTCCGTCTCGAAATATATTTAAAAGCTCCAGGCTTGGGACAGGAACAGAAATATTATAACCATATAAACATGTTTCCAATAGCTCAATCCTCCAACCTGACATTGGACAGCGTTGAGTGGCATAATAGTTCAACACTTTTACAAACCATGAGCATCAATGGGAAAGGATTTGTCTCCAAGCCCAAAAACAAAAAGATATTCAAAACAAACAAAGTACCGATTTAAGATCTAGATCACTCTCAATTATCTAAAGCTAGTTTAATATTTATCAATTATGGACTTTTGACGAGGTCAATACGTTATATATTGACCTGTTTAGATTATATTAACCGAGGAAGAAGTTCGAGGTTCAATATAATCTAACATGTCCATATATAACGTATTGAATGAGTGAAAGTCCTTAATTTATATATTACATATGTCCAGTACATTGTGTATTATGGAAATTGACCTCAATGTTCTTTCTGTGTATTTTACATTGTATTTTGCAAGATTTTTAATAGTGACCGTCAATATATATATATATAAATATAAGCATAGCATTTTGCAAGATTTTCAATATTAACAACCAATATATATATGAATAAAAACATAGCGTTTTGCAAGATTTTTTATATTGACCGTCAATATATTTATAAAACAGTCCATATACTTTGTAACCAATGCATCACGTGATCGTAATAACCGATGAAAAAGTAGAATGCTACACCATATGTAATATAAGGCTATAGTAGTTTACCGGTGTTCACATCTCGTAAATCTATTATGAAGCGACAAATCAAGATAAAAACTAAATTTCATGAACGGTGCATTCCTCATCTTCTTTGAAAGTATTTTTTGGAAAGTAATTCATTTTTCATAGTAATTGATATGAAATATTCTTGAAAGTCACTACGTTATCAACTCTTTCAAAACGTACAAAAGATATGATATTATATATTTCAAACTTATCATATGATGATTACAGAAAATTAATAGACTGGATATATTGTAACATCAGTAATCAGGTAATTTCAAAGCGACATTTATTTGTCAACTGAACATTTTCCAGCGTTAATATCTTTGAATTTTTATTGATAAACTGTTTTATCAATATTTCACTGTAAATGTTATTTTATTCATTTGAGTAATTGTTAATATTTGATTGTTTGTTATTTGTTGTTTTGTTTTTTCTTTTATTTTGTTTTACAATTTACAATTAAAGATATCTTTGAAAGTACAGCCTGGAAATTTCCTATTTGGGTTTTGTTTTTACTGATTTAAGTACCTGATTTTTATCACTTACATTGACCATGTTGACTTAAATCAAATGATTTTAAGTATTTCAAATCATTGACTGTAACTTTAGAACAAATGTACTTCAAGATACATTTGAATAAATGAGTTTTTTTTTATTTATCTTACTGATGAGACACAACTGCATTTTGACTTCTGTAATCATGTATATTCAGGTGTTGTATTACGAGTCGTTTTGTGTCGTTGGTATACATATAGCGTACCGATTTATATTCATTCAACGTTCATGATAATTCTTATTATTCTTTAGGAACAAAACCTTTAATTCATAGCCCCCATCACTTTCTGTTATTTTGCAATTTGATGCATTAATGTCTACTTTTTCTTACGTTCAAATAAAGTGGCAGTCATTTCATGTCAAAACTATACCTTATCCTTACTTGTGCTGATAAATTTAACATATCGTTAATTGCATTAGAGCACACTTGTTCCCGGCAGTTTGGTAGTACAAAAATAGGTACTTCTGCTCTGAACAGCAGGGCAAATTTGCCCTCCTAATATAATTTCATATATTTTTTTTTATTATTTAAGACAAACTTTAAACAAGGCTTCTACAGCAATTACAAGTCCTTAAGCTTTTATTTGATACCAAAATTACTCTAATATTTTACTTATTTACAAAGTTACAGCTATGCGTAGGAACTATTTTGTTAAAAATATGTACTACTTTCTAGTATGATCTTTCTGACCGGGGCCGAATTAGTGGTTTTTTACCTTTATGAGATATATTCTATATTTCAAACATGTTATAGTAATCGTTTATTCTTAATAAGATATCTTATATGATTCACAGTTAGTAAGATATCAAATGAAATATATAAGATATCTTATGAATTATATAAATTATCTTTTTGATCTTAACAAATATCTTATAATTTTTTTGCGACATTCTATTTTTTTCCCACAAAAGATATATATTGTATTTTATAAACGATACCTTACCAAGTAAGTAAGATATCTGATAAAAATTATATGATATCGTATAAAGAAAACCCTATCACATTCTAAGTCAGGAGCCTGTTATTCAGAGGTTGTCCGTCATTTTTGTGTTTCGTTTATAATTTTGGCATAAATCAGGCCGTTTGTGGTTAAGTATGCAGATTTTCACATTTTGTCATGTTGGGGTCTTTTATAGCTGCATACACTGCATAGGTTTTCTTCATTCCTTTTAGTGATGTATAGTTGCTTAAATCCCACGTCATCTGGACCCCAGTTGACAATATATCATTGGCAATCATAATACATCCCCTTATAACTATCCTATATTTATACAATATTTCAAACAATTTATTTGATATTTTATAAAGTGTAAGAGCTATCTTAGATAATGTATATGTAATACAATGTTTTATAATTACTCTAAATATCAGCACAACAATGTTAAATCTGCAAATTTGCAGAAGAAATTTTTGCTCATCCCTCGCCGGGATTCTAACTCATGCTATTGGGATATCGTGACAACACCGATATATTAATCTTTACGACAGATAATTTAGCTAATCTGCAATCAATTCCATCTTCAAGCCTAATATATCATGTAGTGTGTTACAACTCTAGATTCTACTGACGAGGACACTAGGCTACCGAAAGTTGAATTTTTAGTTCAGTCTAGGTGGTCGAGTGGTCTAGAGCGCTGGACACATTGCAGGCCATGTTGTCACGATATCTTAATAGCATGAGTTCGAATCCCGGCGAGGAAAGAATAAATATTTGCTTCCGCAAAGTTGAAGATTCAACATTGTTGTGCTGATATTTAGAGCAATTATGAATATAATATGTGTTTTCAGCCGTGTATCACCTTCACTGGTGATCCAATCGATTGATCTGTCGTAGAGTTGTCACTTGTTTAGACGTACTTATCAAATAATACAATATTTTAGATATGTATTATAAATTATATTAGATATTTTCTATTTTCTATAGAGTTATAAAGTATATGAGATATCTTGAACGTTGCATTAATATACGCTCAGCATGTATACGTCTTGTTTTCTGTTTTGATGAATTTTTATGCTAATAATGCGTAATCATTATATGAAAAAAATCCAGTGCAAGTTGGACTAAAGGGTCATGGATTAGAGGTATGTGGTGGAAGATTACCAGGAACGTATGTTGTGGAACAGTTCACCTTCCACTGGGGATCAGAGGATAAAAGAGGATCAGAGCATGAAATCAATGGAAAACATTTCTCTATGGAAGTAAGTTCAATCCATACGATCACTGGGTACCTTTTATGTATTTTACCCTTTTTTAAATTCTTGTTCTATCTAATATCATGAATATAAAACTTTAGTCATCTTATAATATAACTAATGTATTTTCAATGTACTATCGTTCGACATGCCACATGCTCTCTTTAAAAACATCAAAAAGACAAATTTTGAATTTGTTTTACTCGTTTGAAAAACAAATCCAAGACTTTTTACAATTGATAGGATTATAAGATATATATTAAAATATACTAGATCCAGAATAGTGCTTCGGACGCAAGACATTTATATAGTCCTGTTTTATTTTTTACGACGAGATCATCCATGAGTGTATACAACGATAGCACACGGAATATACTTTAACTACTATTTCTTAAGAAAATGAAGATAATGTCTTACAAGATGTAGCCCTCGTTTTTCAAAACGGCCAACGACATACACATAATTATTAGCACAGACACATGCACGTTAAATTTGTAGACAATAGAAAGTATAAGGATAACTGGAATAACCAAACATATTAGATAATACTACGAAAGCAACATCCACTGAACACATGGCTTAAAAAAAACCATACAAAAGGTCTTAATGCAACGAAAAATACAAAGTCAAATAGTTTAACTTGGAACAGACACAAAATGTGTCTTATGGGGATAAACCAGGTTTACCGGTGCATAAACCTCCTACCTTGCCTATCTAGACAGTATGTCTTTAAATCTTACCACGTGATATAGAAATTTTGACTGGACCAGCTACCAACATTACAGCAAGTAAGTTAAAAAATGAAATTAAATACTGTTCACAATTTTAAAAGTAGAGTTAAAAGACAATAACAATATGAACTTGCAAGAAATCTAGATTAACATAGGTAAGACACCTTTAATCATTTCTGAATTCAACAGTATATATGTGTAAAACTATAACACTAAGGTGGCAATGCCAAAACATACTAAATATAAAATAAACTATTATGTTCTTTCTACACGATGTTTTTCTTTTAGATGCATGTAGTGATGCATACTGACAGATTCTCCTCTGTTAATGAGTCCATGAATTGTACCAATGGTCTTGCTATTTTAGGCTTCCTTTTTGATGTAAGTAGTACTACAACGTTCAATAGAAACAAAATAACGTAAAATCTATTCGCTCTGTGTGTGATTTGAAAGAGGTTAGCATTGAGAGAAATGTATGTATGAAAAATAAACTCACTTTTAAATGTATAGATACAATTGACTTCTGAAGACTTCACATTCTTAAGCCATGGATCATTCATCTTTTGTGGGCATACTTTTTTTTTCTCTCAGGACAGACAATATTTTTTTGAATTAAAAGAAAAAAAAATTATGTTCTATTATTTCCTATAAGTTTTATGTGTTGATGTTTTTTTTTTACTTATTTTCGATAAAAAAAAATACTTTTTTCACTTTTCTTTCTCAAACATGTCTTGTCTTCAAGAAATATAAAATCGACCAATTTATTAAAAAAATAAAGCTCACATAGGAACGTTGAATGCTCTGAATTTTTTACGAGTAAAATAGTTCTATCGGAATGAAAACATGTTTTGCAAGTTGAAATTATGAATAATCGTAAGTTGCTGGAAAAAATCAAAATATTTAACCTAAAAAAGAAAGACTTGATAGGGATTGAACATGAGAAAGAAAAATTGCCATATTTTTAACTTTAATTGTGTAGTAGATTTGTTTTTCTCCTTTTTAAATTTACATGTTGCAAGATTTTAAAGCTTTGTAATTTTTTACACATTGATGGTTAAATACCTTTTCTTTCCAGGTTGGGCGACATAATCACAAGTTTGACGAGATCATCAATCATTTACATGATATACAGCATAAAGGTAATAAGATAAATTCGTGAATTTGAATCGAATCATGGGAACTTATTTATTTTAAAATTATACTGAGACTTTGGAATGAATCAAAGGATTTCCATATTGAGCGTCGTGCAATTTAGAGACCTTTCTCTTCCTTCAAAAACAGAATATATATATTAAACAGTTGACAACATAAAACTGAACATACAAGTTTCATTCATACATGTATATATGTTAGAAACAGTCTTTGAAAGATATTATGGGAAAGCGAAATTAAGACATAAACACATAATTATGTTGAAATTTATATTTCGGAAGATTGAATTTAAGATTCCTAATCAATCGTGACCTTGCACGAGTAGCGCTGCATATGAAAGGCGTACATGAATACTTAGGTAAGTTACACGTGCATATCATGCCTTATGGTTAAGCGGGTGTAATATGCATAAAATACAACTGCATTGTAACCGTTTAATTAAATAAAGTCGATCAATTATATCTCCAACCTGCTACTATATGCAAACACAAGAAACAGCTTTCCTTAAAATCGTCATTAGTCGTAACCAAGTCAATGAATCACAGAATGCAGTCGCATTTACAGAGGCCGATTTTGAGACTCTTGCAACGGTACCAGCAATCCGGTTTAACAGCTGACAGTCAACGTTCTGGCCGACCTTAAATCACACCAGCCGCCCAATATCGCTATATCTGGGTACTTATACTGACAAACTGGGCCATTACAGCAACACACACAGAATTAAATGTTACAGGTCTCTGACAAGTATCAACACTCACATCAACTACCCGTTTTACGCTGATGTTCTAGATGTCGTTAATTTAATCTGGGAGCGACTTCGAGTGAATCCCCACCTTCATTGGGATGAATTTCATTTAGTTGGCCTATCAGGAAAGACCCGTTCAGCGCAAATAATTCAGAGTAGTAAAATGTAAGGGTGAATAAATCAAAATGAGACGGTTTTTTTAAGATCGATTTTTTTATCCTCTCCAATTCTCCATATTACAATTCCTGTTGCAAAAATGTATTTCCGTCTTGTGTCTTATTTAAACTGGGGCCCCTCTTTTTACACAATCTTCATTTAATATCATCAATTTATTAATTACTGATTCGGTTAAGCATCTCTGTTGCTGCGAAATATAACACCAAAAACCAACCAATGGATCAATAACGAGAAATATAATAGACAATGATCTGTTTATCTATTTAAGTAAAGAAAAAGGCAGAGTATTACTTTTCAAATAGACTTTTTAGGTAACCACATTCAAATTTAAATCAAAATTTAAAGTTTACCTAAAATGGTTAACAATACGTTAAGAAATGTCTGTCTTTTAAAGTGCTTTATTATTTTTCTTTTGAAACAGAACTATTACTTAATAAAAAAGTTACTTCTCTTAACCACGATTAACCTCAAATGACATCAAATCAAAACGATATAAACATGACATTTATACATAATAGTGAGTGCCACGGTATAACTATTTGGTACTGACTCAACATCGAGCAAAAGATGGTCCAATCTCTGGCGTAGAGATCATACCCTTCCGTTCCATACTACGTAATACTATACAAAATATAATGTGGATTCAATTTTATCATGTTTTTTCGATGGATACTAATTTTCGTGGATTTCGTCGGGACACCTCAATTGGGTCTTACATATGTAAATTAGAAAACACGTGGTTCAAATTGAACGCATCTATGGACAATCTAAAACCGTTCAACGTAACAAGACAATTGCTAATTCTATAAAGAAGTCAAGACAAGGGACGACCACTGGCTAGATGTTTGAGACAAAAGGCACTTTTTGTTCATAGAACAGCGAATCATCCAAACTAGTCACAACTGTTTAAACACAAATAATTCTGCATTATAAAGTGTTTTATATTCTTTTTAAACAGACGACCATGTCGTTCTTAAATCATTCAACTTGACTTCGCTGTTTCCATCAACGGACTGCTTCTACAGATACTATGGGAGTCTAACAACACCACCGTGCTATGAAAGCGTTATCTGGTCAATTTTTAAACAACACATTTATATTTCCAAGTATCAGGTTTGTGCTTCTTTATTTTATGTTTAGACATATGAATCATGTGATATAAGTCAAAGGGCTCTTAAACCAACACAAATTAGAAACATATATGTAACATGTGTAAATGGCCTTCCTTTTTGATTTTTGATTTAGTTGAAGATGTTTTCAAAAAAATTTTGACAATATTCTTAAGCAGACATAATAATATATATTTTAAATCTGTTTCTAATTTAACATTGATTTATGTGCCTTTTTGTCTGGTCAAAATATATATTTCCAAAAACAACCGAGCACCAAACTCAAAAATCAAAGGTCGTCATCTTACAGGACAATTGATATGAGCTGAATATTGAGTGAAATGTATCCTCATGGACACGTGCACTTGAGTAACATATGTTAAGTTAATGTCTAAAAGACAATCCACCAAATTCAAAAGACAAAAACATCAAAAAATCACTTAGAACATACCAATCGTACGTTGTCTATAAAAGTAATATAATTCATTAGTTGAATAATGATTAAGATAAAAAGTGAAAATGACAAGAAAATGTAAATATCATGAATTCACTGAAACTGTGACTTATTATTGATTGACACTGTGTGCTTTGAAATGCATTCTAAAAATTTCAAGATGTACAGAGGACACAAAATTAAAAGATACCAAATAAATACCTTTAGAAGAATTTGCATAGTTACAAACAAGAATGTACGATTTGGCGAAAGAGGTAGGTCTTATTTCTCCTAAATCTATTTCACACTAGGAATCTTTTTTAAAAGTTCCAAGGTTTTTTTGTTATTAAAACTCATTGGATTTAAGAGTCATATGAATTATTTTATATTGATATGTGTTCTCTTAGATTGATATGATTTCTTTTAGATTGATATGTGTTCTTTTAGATTTGAACAACCTTTTAGTGTTTTTCTGAACATTTGAAAAACATTAATACCTAAAATGACTCAGAGGTGCTATTCTAATAAAATTGACCAAGAATATAATGTAGAGGACAATCATAACCAAAACCAAAATTCCATTCAAAATTATTTTATATCATATCTATCATATACAAATAATTTTTATTTCGGTTAGAGAGGTTCGTCGATGCATGTAAAATTGCAAACATTTGTTTTTATCAGTAATGTGTAGCTCTGAAAATATTCTTACTATATGGATATAAGTAAAATTGGTGAAAAATGTTATTCCAGGTGTTATGGTGTATTCTCTTTTTTCTATATTCAAATTAACGAAGGTTTAAATCTTCTGATTTTATTCCTGTCAGGAGCACCACATCCATTGTATTTCAAAATATGTCGAATTTCCAGACTAAATTAAAAGAGAGTCGAAGGATACCAGATGGATATTCAAACTCAATAGTCAAAAATAAACTGACAACGCCATGATTAAAAAGGAAAAACACTAACAGACAAACAACACTACACAAAACAACATAGGAAACCAAAGACTGAGCAACAAGAACCATACAAAACAATAAGGTGATCTCAGGTGCTTCGGAAGGGTAAGCAGATCCTGCTCCACATGTGGCATCTGTCGTGTAGTTAATATTAGTTCAAACCCGGTGATAAGTTTAATTCGGTAGGTCACATTCGGGGAAAGGGATGAGATTGTAGTTATGACAATTGGAGCATATCCGTCGTCATCTGTGAAACACATATGCCATAACGGTCAACCAAATGTTTTATTTAGATACATCACTAAAATGTCAATCAATGGTGTTGTAAAATGGAAAACTACTTCCTTTTAATGAGGCATAAATTTATTAAATCATAGTGTATTTGGTATAATAGAGACATTGCACAAAGTCAACCTGTCTGTGTAAAAGATTATAAAATGAATATCAAGTTGGCAAATCACTATAAAAAGAAAGCTAATAATATAGCGATACAGACTCTACCATGAAGCAGGGATGACCTCCAGTTTTGCGGAGGCTATATTATTCATTCCCCTGGTCCCCTAGTGGCGCCTGTCATTTTGCTTATTTCAAGTAAAAATCCGATTACCAGTCGCATAAAATGGAAAAGAGGATTAGTTTGTGTCTACGACCAGGGTTGCGTTCAATATGGTAGCAGCTATTATAGCCGCTATGTCTATCTATGTTGAACGATATGCTACTTAGCTAGGCTATCCAATTGACATCATTTATAATAACCTATCCGTAGCCATTTTGTATTCTCTATCTATTTAGCGGCTAGACTAGCTATACGTTCAGTAATCGAAATCTACGTATCCCTTTGTAACAGCTGTTATATTTGAACGCACTCCTTTTGAACATATCCGTGGTGATCTGTTGTACAGATAATACCCAAATCAGGTTTGATATCTAAAAGATATAGTATAGGATAAATATAAATTGTGTAGTTCTTTTATATTTTTGTAAACAAAATCATAACTGTATTCAATCTTGAATTTGATATATTCTTGCAGCTAAACCAGTTCCGACTTCTAGGGAAAATACATTTCAATGGAACAGGTGATCTTATTAACAACTATATGAATCCTCAACCATTGAATCATCGGGTTGTCACCTCCAACAGCAAACGATCCATTACATGTTCTTGTGGTGAGAAGTCGAAGACAAGAAGGGGTAAAAAGTTAAAGTCTAGAAGTGGCAAGAAGCCAAGGTCTAGAAGTAGCAAGAAGTCAAAGTCTAGAAATAGAAAAAAGTCAAAGTCTAGAAGTAGCAAGAAGTCAAAGTCTAGTCGTGGCAAAAAGTCAAGGTCTAGAAGTAGCAAAAAGTCAAAGTCTAGTAGTGGCAAAAAGTCAAGGTCTAGAAGTAGCAAGAAGTCAAAGTCTAGAAGTGGCAAGAATTCGAAATCTAGAAGTGACATAGGGTCAAACACTAGAATTGGAATATGGTCAAATACTAGAAGTGGCATATGGTCAAAGATTAGAAGAGGCATATGGTCAAAGATTAGAAGAGGAGACAGCGACAGCGACGATCGATAAATATATCAACGCCATAGATATACCCAACATTTTAAGAAGCTATCTTATATCTAAAATGAAAAGTTTTAAAAAAAAAATGATGTATGACCACAACCTTATAAACGTGTTATAGAATAAAGAATAGAAATACATGTAAGTGTATCGATAAAAAAAATTAATCAATACAATAAATGAAAACATTTTACAAATTATAAGAGTTAAATCTTCTTTACATTAAGGTTTTCCTAGACTTTAGTTTTCAGTGTTGTTTAGATAGAAAATTGCTTAGTTAGGAAACATAAAGTTAACCCTCTTTATACATTATGTAAACTTCATCGAGAATGCTAAAAGCAAAAAATGTGGTGCTCTCCGTCCTTTTATACATTATGTAAACTTCATCGGGAATGCTAAAAGCAAAAAATGTGGTGCTCTCCGTCCTTTTATACAGAGACGTTAAGGATTGAATATATTTGATCTGCTTACCCTTCCGGAGCACCTGAGATCACCCCAGTTTTGGTTGGGTTCGTGTTGCTCAGTCTTTAGTTTTCTATGTTGTGTTTTGTGTACTATTGTTTGTCTATTTGTCTTTTCCTTTTTTAGCCATGACGTTGTTAGTTTATTTTCGACTGATGAGTTTGAATATCCCTTAAAAATCTTTCGCCTCTCTGATGTATAATGTGCATCCGTGATATCTGATATTTTAGTAGTGTATAATTAGGTGTTGCTTCTCCGCAATTTCTCTTATTGTTTCTGCATTATTTTGTGTAATTAATTGGTACATGGTTCTTGCATGCTTACCCACCCTTAAATTCCAAGCTTATCAACTACCACCTTTGAGAAAAGTTTGAGATAGCAAATTTAAATCTCCTTACATTTGCTGGTTTGGACACCTTTAAAATCTGGAACACGATCTATGTAAACTATTTAAACAAAATGGTTTACCTATCTACCCTACCTTGTTTTTCCCAAGAAACAGAACGCAAGTATATAAAGGTTCACCTTAATATTATTATATAGATAAACAACTATCATATACATCACTTTTATAGTAAACTATTATAAAAGAATAAAAAAAGAAGCTTGAATTTTATCAATATTCTTATACATGTTATAATAAAATAAATTTAAAAAAAACAATGCAGTTACCTTATGTTCTTTAATTATCTTTACGCACTTTCTGCCAAGCTGGGATCTTCAGATAGATAGAACAACTGGTTATTGTTAGTGATGTTAACGAAATGGTGACGTCAGGAAGCATTAAATTTCGGAACATAATTAACTAAACAAATTATTATTGGCTAAGTTACGGGTTCAGGTACCTGCCTTAACGGCCTACTCGGTTCAATGGTCACCAGCCTTTTTAGACCCTCTTTAACGTTTTCTCTATATAAACTAACTCGTTTTAGCGGTCACCTGTCTAACGCGGTCAGCGGTCACCTGATTTCGGCAATAAATCGTCTTTTCAACTTTTAATAACAGTCATTTTAATGATTGAACTACCAAACAAATTATGACGAATTCAGTATTGGAGTCAAAATGAAAGTGAAATTCAAAATGATAAAGAGATCGGGCAATAGACGATGAATTCGTGAATTCCCCGTGTTCCACTCCTTTCAGTTTCCATTAAAAACCGTATCAACGACTTATTCATGTTATTACCATGATTAGTATACGAATATTAACATATTTCAAATTTTTCTTCAAATTTACAGCACCGGACTCTGCCATTTTTTTTTAATTTACTGAGAGTTCGATAAGATTACTAATTGGAAACATTATAAAGAATTTTTGGGAACCTCCTTTATAATGTCAACTCTCTTGAGCGGTCATAGTTGGTACTTCCCAAGAGTGACTGCTTAATACAGGTTTGACAGTATTTAATAAAATATTCTTCTTTGGTCGTAATGCTTTTCTCCAAGTTTTAGAATGACACTTTAATTTTACGGAAAGCCAAAGAACTTTATTTTACAAGATAACTGTGTAAGGAAATAAGGTATATTAAGGCCACTTTACGAACCACGAAGTCAACAATAAAAGAAAAGAAATCTACCAAACAGTGTCCTAGAGCAGTGCATCAAATATGTAACTTTGTACGGCAAAATTCAAAACTTACAATATGATAAATGTCAGACTAACAATTAAAAAATATTTTCATAAACACATGAAATATTTTACCAACCATCCATCATCATCGTTAATGTTAAGATCTGAGCAAAGGGTTTATCCAAATAGATTTTTTACCGAATATTATGGTAATTAAAAAGGAAAAGTCCCTAAAAACTGACAAATTATACGTTAGACTTTGTCAATAATCGTCGAGTGGAAAACATCCGACATATTTCTGACTTGATACAGGCATGTTCTGACAAAATGGTGGGTTAATCCGTGTTTGAGATCCAACTTCACCTCCCACCTGGGCGACAGCTGTATAAATTTGCATTATATTGACAAATGTTGAGAGCAACCAGAAGAGACAAAATTGGCTTAAGTGACAATAATTGTGATCAATCAGCGAAAAACAGTGTGCATATATCATAGTTAGACACCATAACTAAATATACTATTAAAAAACAGACATACATACAACTAAACCTATCAAGGAATCCAACAAATACGTAAATGTAACCAATTTTGTATAGTAAAAAATTATGACGTTTACACATGTTCCTATACAGTACAAATAAGTAAAATAGAAATATATATATAAGCGTACACAAAATGAAACTAACACTATCAAAAGTTCATGCGTACGAAGCGTCCTTCCATACTAACACGCATCAGTAACACTCAAAGCCAGAAAGAGAAAAATCGGATCTATAGATAACAAGCCACCTCAAGAGTCATACGACCAAATGGGTCAGGAAAGTACCAAGATCAGTGAAGGGAAAATCAGAAGATACACAACAGCAGCACCTATAATATAGAACTCTTGACCATACTGTTTTATTTAAGAATTGAATACTGACTATATATCTATTAGGTCCTGGTTCCTTCCGATGAACCTTTAAATACAAAAAACGAGACGAATCATTGGCAAAACCCTGGTTCAATATTTTTTTGCTCGGACACCAATGACGTTTTACAAAGTGTGAGTGACATCTGCACAATTTTGGATAGCGTATAACTTGAGATAAGCATATTCCATTCGGGTGAGTTTGGATAGTGCTGGTAAGGTGAGGAAAGTTCATAATTTCAAAATTGAAATTGTCTCGTTTGTCAAAGACTCTGGTACTGAGATGACGGCTGCAAAAGAGAATAGCTCTGGTCATACTTCCACCTAAGGTCTCGATTTTGTGTCTGTTTGTCAAAGAAAGTAAAACGGAAAATACTAAAGGGAGAATATAAACTCATAAATTGGAGGAATTCCGATAAAATCTTGGCAAAACAAACCCCAAAAAATGACGAAAGGTCAAATTACAGGAGGCCAGACACAACATTGTCTCGCATTAGTATTAACTTCTATAAAACTTACGGCACCATCGTCTGCGCCGTAAGTTTTCCAAATTGTCTTCTACAAGGCAACGAGAAGAACTTAGAAGTCGTGCTTAATGATGAATTAGTCTTGGTCGATAAACACAAATCAATAAGCAATAAAAATTTGGTATGATTGCCAATGAGACAACCATCCAAGTCAGCCCATTTAAGAAACTACAGGTAACCGTAAGTTCGTTGTATTTGACAATGAAAAATCTCTATACTTAAATAAACGAGTGATACAGTATTATTCAAACACGATTAGGTCAACTATTACGTAAACTTTATTGTTTTTATACATAAAAATATACAAATTATATTGTATAACGAATTATTTGTCGTTATGTGTAAATTTGAAGGATTTTATTCACATATGGACAACACATACTGAGCTAAAAATAATCCACCTTTACAAATAAATTCATTAGATAAGTAATTTTAAAATACTATTAGACATCGTCACCATAAGCCGAAACCGAAATCGAAATCGGTACTAAAACCGATTGAATTGAAAATGTGAATGGAACTCAAATCATCTACATAGTTTACGTATGCATGTGTATTGTTCATTACCTTAAATCGATGTTACTTAAAACATAATTTGTCTTGAATCTTTTCAACAAAAAAAGATGCACATTAAATCAAACTCTACACAAGTAATACACAAATTTAAATGTTGAAATAACTATATTTTTAAAGTACCTTATTCAAGAAACATGTTTCGTAGAAAGGGACTGATGAACACATGGTTCTACAATTTGACAAATATCGTTTCGACCACGCCTAAATCATGTATAAAAAGAACCTACGTACGGTTTAACCTATTATAATACGTTTATTGGAATGTTCCACATACACAATGTAAAAGAGGGACTAACAATATTTTCATAAATATCGTCTTTTTGTGAATAAATAATGTTGAATACATAATAGGTCTCAACGTCAAAATCAAAGATTGTACTGATATAAAACATAACATGTGGATTACATCAGAAACAAAGAAAAACAAGTATTAATTGATATTGTCATATATTTACATTTATATTCACAATTGTTAAAAAATCTGTGTGATTGTTTTTTTTTTTTTTTTTTTTTTTATAAAAGCTTTTTGAAGTATAATTATTCAACATGTGTCTTATTTTATTCAGATCAAATATATGAGTAGAAATTGATATTTAGATAATTAATTTTGACATGATACTTTCTCAAAAATGTTAAGAAATATAGGGTTGCTTATTGAATTTCAAACATAGAAAATAAACATAAAAGAGGGACGAAAGATACCAGAGGGACAGTCAAACTCACACTGCATCAACTGTATATGCAACAGCATACCGTCTTCGTCATATACAAAACAAATTTGTCGACCAAGAGCTGTAAATTGCATATAACCTGACTTCACTTAAACATGAATATTGTGTATTAATTAAATTGAATTAAAATTCCATTAATGTTTTCAAACTACCATTTACACATGTTACACTAATTTATAAATGATCGGAATAACAACTTTGGCATTTCTCTACAGGAGATGGTCCCGTAGGGGCTTATTTTGGCCTACTATTTGAAGTGCATCTGATGAAAGATTTTTGACATTCTTTTTTAACACTTAAGTGTCTTCTCCAGTCGATTCAATTAGTTTCTGTAAAAGATTTGAACTAATTTGGTCATTAAAGATGCTTAAATTGAAGCTTAAAAATGAAAAATCTATCAAATATGCCATAAAACGTCACTTTTCAGATGTGTTTGTTTAAAATGGAAATGGCCGCATTCGTGTTCAGTCCCAACCTTCATATATGTTATGTATTATCACCAAATACAACGTATATTTAAATATTAAGACTGAACACAAGTGCAGCCACTTCCATTTTAGACAAAAACCGCTTAACAATTAGCACAAATGCTAAGATTTTAGTAATTATGCATGAATTAATGATACTAGTACCAGATGCATGTGAATTGCAATGTCAACAACAGTCCATATGTATGTAACAAAAGTATTCTACTTTCCAATAAATAGCTAAAATATAAAAATAAAAAGATGTGGTATGATTGCCAATGAGACAACTCTCCACAAGAGACCAAATGACACAGAAATTAACAACTATAGGTCACCGTACGGCTTTCAACAATTAGTAAAACACATACCGCATAGTCAGCTATAAAAGGCTCCAAAATGACAAATGTAAAACAATTCAAACGAGAAAACTAACGGCCTGATTTATGCACAAAATAATGAACGAAAAAAATATGATATAATGCAAAAAACGACAACAACTGAAGTACTGGCTCCAGACTTGGGACAGGCACATAAAGAATGTGGCGGGGTTAAATATGTGAGCGGGCGCCAAACCTTCTCCTAACCTGGGACAGTAGTGTATCAGTACAACATATGAACAAACTATCAAATCAGTTGAAAAGGGCTTAACTCATCAGATCGACACAAAGCACAAAAAAGTAACAAAAACAAAGATTGGACGTGACAGAGTACCTAAACATCCCCACAACAAAAAGACAATAAGTACAGATCTGAGAGTACATTCAGTTACTGACAGCGAGTTCATGCCTATAACAACTATAATAAATAAAATCATGCATCTAAGAATAAAAGTTTACATTTTTAACAAATTTTTGAAATGCTATATTTTGGGGCTAAAATGGGGTCTTACCGGGCCTACTCCTTCCATAAATAAAGTGGAAGCTATTTTCGAGACATAGATACTATTTAAGCAGCAACAAAAATTTGAAGCCTGTTATCTGTGATGAGTTTATTTTGAGCTTCGGTTGTTTTTATATAAAAGATACAGAAAGGTTATGTAAAGGGCAAATCATTGAGATAAATAAATGTTTTATACAGTATATGAAATATTATAAATCGTTAATGTAACTACCTGTAATTATTTAAACCTTGACATAACCCTCAATCAAAAGGTTACCTGTCGTCCTAGGCATAGATAGTAGGTGAATGTACCGATTAGTTTCTGAAAATGTCTGCCAAATACGAACTAAGAAATATCACTTGTATCATAGTGGTAAATCATAGATACACATGTACTTAAACGTAAAAAACAATTTATTACAAAATTGCTGAATCAATATAAATATAATGTCACAAGTATAAAAATCAATGCTTACACTTTTTTGTATGCATTTCAAAATGGGATCTACGACATTTGTTACTTCTTTCATTTTTTTAATTGGAACTTATTTGGCAAATGGTGCAGGTAATTAATACGCCTTTGTTTTTAATATACAAGACTTGATTTTGCCATTAAAAAAGCACATTTGTACTACGCGTTCATTTTGAGATATTACCGTTGCATATTTTTTTTTATAATTAAGATAAATATTGTGCACTGTGCATGTGTATTTGACACGTCCACGACTTGCATCAATTTACTTTCAGGTACGCTCACTCTGATTTTGAGATGGATAACTGCAATAAAAGTGTTGCTCCCTTGCTTTTGGTTTTTGACAACATAAATAAATTTTACCTAAAATCCATTCCTTTTCCATATAAGTTCTGACTAATCATAATAGACGAATTATTTTAATCCGTTTTGTCTGAGAACAATATTAGAAACCCGCTTTGTCTCTCCTTAATTCATTCTGTTAACATTCCGTCTTCTTTTTAATGAATAATTCTATAAATCTCTTCCATTCTAATTCATTTAAATATCGACTTATCTTACCCAAAAAATCATCATGGATACCTGGCTTATATTTATTTTTTACGCCATTTCGTTTCGCCATCAAAAGACTCACCAGTGACGCTTGAAAGTTAAAAAAAAAAAAATGAAATACGAAGTAAGAGAACGTTCATTGTAAGAAAAACGGTTTAGTCCAAGATTTTTTGAATCCATGCGTAATGAAAGGGATTTTTTAATCTATTTTAGGTATCGTATTTTATTATAACATCGGTACATGTAAAAATAAATGTGGATTTCAACACCAAATAAACTTTTTTTATGTATCAATTTTAAGATAATTACATATTATAATACCCCGTTGAAAATGAATGTTAATGTTTATCCCCTAATTAAGTAGCCTTCCACATATCAATCAAACTAATTGATGTTCACCATGAAACGGATTACTATTCTTCAAAATGTAATTGATTATGAATGACAATTGTATTGATATTTACAATATAAAATCCATTGTACTTTGGATTGTGGATTTATATCTCTTTCCAGACCTTTCATATTGCATTTCGTAAAATTTATTTCTCCCATCCCAAGGGTCAATGAAGGAATTTTAAATATTTTTTTTTGCCTTAAAATAAACGTTTTTTTGTATGGAACTTTGCAATTAATATAAACGTATGTTGATTTACATCCCATGAGTCATATTTGTCAAGCGTTGTAAGTGAACAAGTACTCTTAAAATGTATATATTTTTTTCTTATTTTCGAGATACAGATAATTTATTGAGGAATAAAAAAAGTAGGAAAGTTTTTATAATTCCCAAAAAGGGGTTGTATCGTGCGATTTCAAACTTTTTTCAAAAAAATGTGCTACCAAACATACTACGGATTTTTTTACAATATAACATATTTTGAAGAAAAAACAATTCGACGACAGAATTAGGAAATACTTTTTGTTGCATGCTTTCCAAAAAAAATTAAAAAAAATAGAAAATTTGAAAATTAAGTTTCACTTAATACTAAATATGAATTCAAAGTATATGGAGATAAATGTAACTTTGATGACCAACTGCATTGAATGCCAAACAATTTGAAATCTGTTCCAACGATAGAGGTATACTGATTTATATATAGCCGTCTGTTCATTGGAAAACCACTGTATTTCTGTCCGTAACACTCTTCAGTTGGATTTTTTGAATCAACTAAAAATTTAAATAATAAGTATTAAAAAGTATTAAGCTTAATATATATATATAAGAAAACCCGTTTGAGACATGTCCAGATCCATTACCTGTTTTCATCTTCTTTTTTTTTTTTGCACATATATGTTTGGTTTTTTTTTTATAATTTTGTACGTGTACGAAATGATCGTCGCTTTTTTGTAGCAAACCACAAATCAGCCACTCTTTTTACCTAAAATAATCTAACGATAAAAGCTTCTCAACACTTTTCAGTATGACTTACGATATATTTTAGTCGTAAATTTGTTTGCGGACAAATAGAGTCGCAAGCGTTCCAAATTTGCATATTGGTAAGGTAAGCTTTACAACATTCCAGATCCATTATATTGCTACTGCTTGTTTTCTAAACTGATGCATGTTCGTCACCTCGGTGCATATATAAGAAGTTGTCCTCGAATATTTTGCACCAACAAAACATCAGAGCTTCGGGATATTATAGTACCCAACTTAATTTTTATTTGGTTTTGTGAGATACATTTTAAGAGCAGTCTTTTATATTTTTTTTATTTTTGTTGTATACACAAAAGGAGACGCAGTATAATTGCAAATGAGTGTGTGTACTTTACATTGATGCGCGAAAAAGAAACTTCTGTCGATTTATTCTCACTTAACGCAAAACAGAGCTGTTGGATGTTTAATACAAGTCTCATGTAGATAAATTACATCTTGATATTTGGTACAAATTTTAAAATTTGTTAGCTATACCATAAACCTATGTACATACGTTTGTCAAAATTTTATATGTTCACTAAAATGCAAGAGCAGGTGTATAAATGAGTAGGCGGATTTTCTTATCTCCTCTTTTTATTTCTTTTCAGTTCATAAATGGGGATATCATCATGGCGTAGGTAAGTTTTTATAACATAATCATGATACACATAGACAGAATTCAACTTAAAACTCATTATCTGATAAATAGTATGTCCTTATTGACTTGTTATACGATTATTTCCTAGTGTTATCTTTTTTTTCTTTTTCTTGAAATATAGAAAATTCAATGAATAAAATCCAATGATAATAGTTAGTATTGATGGTAAACCAAACTTTCTATTACTCTCACAACCTTGCATCAAGTGTTTTATTATACCCAAAACAAACATCTTTTAGGACAAAAAATACATTATACAACCAAAATGGGGACGAATACTCACATTCACATGAACATGGTGTTTGATAAGGGTTTTTGGCTTGTGGTTTTTAAAAGTATTTGAATAACTGTAATCAAAACTAGGTAGACGTGTGTTAATTTTTGCTATACATACAATTGCCGTTAACTGAAAATGTATTGCTTAATATGCAGTGCTGTTACTTTAGTTGCATATAGCTATTATTTCTTAAGTCTTTTCTTTGTGAAATATGTCTAAATTATATTGTGTGCCTCCGCTATTTTAGCCAAATGACTACTAGTCTAGTTACCTTTTCTTAGACGTGCAGGTGCGCACCAGCATTAATAGGAAAATTTGTATTTCGTGCTGACGAGGCTATTTACCGCCGGCAATAAATCAGCTAATATTTTGTTAGAGACAAACGTTGTGTGTTATATTGCATAAATGATCAATCTGCGAGAAACTGTTTATTTTCATTTTTTTGTTAGGCTTTTTTTTTAAATAGTTAATAATTGTATTTTTGTTTTGGTACAAATTAGACCCAGAACACTGGAAGAACTTATTCCCGACATGTGGTGGAGAGCAACAGTCTCCGATAGATATTAAGACTTCTAAGGTCAAGACGGATAGAAGTCTAGGACAGCTTGATTTTAGTAAGCTAACGACGGAAAAGAATGTCAAACTTGAAATTCAGAATAACGGACATACTGGTATGTACTACAAATAACAGAGATATAGCCAATTTTCCTTACATTTCTTTCACACGAGGGTTCAAAATCCTAAAATTGATGAATACTGAGTTAAACCTTATTCATATTTGTGAAAGAATCTTCAACAAATTAGCATACATCCATAGAATTAAAATTGTATTGATCATTATACCTAGCTGTTGAAGAGAGTGTTGATAACATATTGCAAATGTATTTTGTCAAAGTTGGGTCGTAAGTGACCTATATTTTATATTCCAAAAACAATAAGAATGATATTTTCTTTCGATAATATTATGCTTTGGTTTTTTTTTAAACTTTCTTTTTCATTTATGGAAATAACACGTAAACAATCAAAATCTACAAAAATATCCACAAATTGCCTTCTTGTGCCATCTAAAAGCGTTTATACTAATTCGATCAACTATAATAAATAGTGTTACCGAGTTTTAGTACACACATGAAAATGTAAACTTTAGAAAAAATTGAACGAACATTTTAAAATCGAAATGAATAAAAGTGAAGTTAATCGATGGAAACTAGTCGTTTAATTTTGTATTAAAATAGGACGTGTCGTTAAAATGATTGCTAACGACCAGTATAGTCAAATTACCCTTCATGTAACAGTAAGACAATCAACAATGAGAACATCCTTTGTAGATAGTATAAGATAAACGACCCCAGAATGACATAATTTGAAACATTTCTACATAGAAAAACAACTGCCTGCTTTATGCTTAAAAAATGATCATAAAAAAATTCTGGTAGTAACCGACTACAACCACTAGATTATAGGCTCCTGTCTTTGGGAAATAAATATAAAAAATACGCTGAATTTTGTAACAGTTCAACCAAGCAACAAATGTTTATTTCAATTGAAAAGGCTTGAGTAGTTAGATGGAAACTATCAAACAAATAAAACTACTGAAAGTACAGAAACTTCCGATTTAAAGACTCTCTCAGTTACCTAAAGCTAGGTTAAGGTGGCTGGGTGGTATAAATATCTAATATAGGATTTGGCTAATACTTTTTATAAATCAAATTTATCATATATTAAGTGGAAAATAAAAATAAAAAAATGGGTTCACCGTCTAGTTAAATTTTTTTGAAGGGTTCAAGTTTATTGGTTTTCATTCAAGATTACTATAGAAATGATAGGGAAATGAATGCATAGCCATCTTTTTTGAAGAATTTCTCATGAAACCTAATATAGGATTTTTTAATGTTTGTGTTTTTTCTGTTGCTTAAATAGTCTTTTTAAATAATAAAAAATAAAATCAACAAGTCACCGTCTAGTTAAGACAAAAAATGTAGATCATTAAAAATGATGAGTATTATTTCAAAAAGGGAGATAACTCTGTCTTTTACACATTTTTCTAATTTTGAGACCAGATATAGAAAGACCTGGTTATAAAAACTAGTTATACCTTCTATACATGTAAGACCATATATAATATATATAACATTTCCAAACAGTTGATTTGCATATTGGTTGCCATGGCAACCAGCAGTCAAAATGGAAAATCACTAATTTTTGGGATTTTTTTTAAATTTTCAGTTCAAATTCAATACCAAACAATTTGAAAAATGAGCAGGCAGTATCTATTACAATAGGGGTGTGTTTGTTTTTAGAACCTGCATATTTATATGGACTGTGGAATTCTTGAGGCAAATAGTTCTTAGTTTGTCTGCCCGTTCACTTGTTTAATACCACTGGTTTCAGTTTATAATTTTATTATCTCTTGCTTGATTGTAATAAAACTTGCCTTTTTTATGAAACCTAGAGACTCACTCAGACTACTGACTTAAACTGATTTTTCAGTTTACAAGACAATCCCCCATCTGCAATAAATATCCCACCTCAGGGACCTCTAACATTAGTATTCCAATTTTGATGAAACTTTGCAAGGTATTTTTATTTTGTTGGTGTTCTGTACATAAATCAGGCTGTTTTGACATGTTTGAATTGCCTTACATTTGTCATTTGGTTTTATAGCTGGCCAAACGGTATGGAGTTGGCTCATTGTTAAAGGCCATAGGGGGGCATATACATGTATCTCTTAACTTCTATCTCTTTTGGTCTCTGGTGGCAAGTTTTCTCAGTGGCAATAATGCCCCGTATATCCCACCTTTTTATATATATTTGAAATTTTAAACACAATGCTGACAAATATAGCACACAGGACAGCTTCTATGTTTGTTGTATAATGGAATTATTACAGAAGCATATCTAAGTTTGACATAGACAAATTATTCTTTCATTTCCTAGTACTTGTTTATGTATAAAAATTAATACATGAGATAGTTGAACCTGATACACCCGCCATATAATACTTTTTTATATCTGTCAATTTATCCGTTTTATGCTTTTGAAATTACGTACATAAAAAATTTCAGGTTTAATAGTGTGATATTAGATTTGTATTAAATAGAAAATGTGTCTATAAGACACAGGATGTCCTGCCATTAAATGTAGGTCACAGTAATCAAATTGTTGATGACCTGTGTGGTATCATAAAAGAATAATGTAGTGATGATATATCACAATAGGTTTCTGTGAAATGAACCTAAACACAAGACTTAATGGTAACCAAAGACACAAAAGCAATAAATGTAGGTCAAAGTGACTCAAGTAATGTATAGTACTACTAGTATACAAGATGTCTGTGGAGAAAAAAATATCACTGATATATTACCATTAGTTTCTATGAAATAGAGATAAATGCAAAACTTTACTGGAAAGGGATGTACATACTTATGAACTGACAAAGGTATACTAGTATCAATCTATATAATCCATCCACATTTGTGGCAGGGCATAATAAAATCCAATCTTGGTAACTTTTTCAAATAAATATAAATAACAACATGCATTATTGTGACAAAAGTACTCATTTATGATCAAATTTCAGTTCCCATAAATTACTTATTAAGATTCAATAAATTCTCCCAAAAAATTAACTAATTTAAAAGTGTTGAATTGCATGGTTTGATTAGTAGCAGGCCAATTTCACAGGTTTATTCTATTCATATAACCTTATGATTTTCTTTTCAAAGTGTGCCAATTTTTAAAAATCCTGTTCTGTATAATCAGTTATGCAAATACCTGTCACCCCCCCCCCCCCCCCCTTCCTCCCTCTTACAATTAATTTAAGTGCACACATGTTTTTTATGCTAAAACAGTGTTTTTGAGATTTATAAAGTTCTCAACAGTAAATTATTTTGATAAGTGTGCCTTTTTCATTTCATATACTACCTTTATTTTCTTTGGTAGGATAGTAAGTTCACCAAATACAATGAACATGTGTATGACAATTGGGACTAACATTACAAGCAAGTTTTCCACTAAAAATTGAAAAATATATTGCATTAGCATACATTGTACTTCTTAACATATGCAAAAACAATCTATTTCCTATAGCTTCTGTATTAATTTTTATGTGTAAATATGCGTTATTGCCTAAATTGACCAAATAACTTTTTTCAATCATGATGATGATGGGAGTTTTTAACGACTTTGACTGGCTATACAGCCCTTGCACTGTCATTTTTTTTTCTATTCAATTATACATGGCCAAGCACGTTTTATACTCATGTGGAAGAATTAAAAAACCTTAAAAATTTTAATTTGGTAGAAAAAAAAACATTTTTATGTCATGCATCATGCATGTAAAGCCACCTTCTTTTGATAATCCTTTATTTTTCAGGCACACATTAATTAAAAATTTTGAATAATTGTAATAAATCTTGAATCCTTGATACACTGAATGATTCTTCAATTGCTTTACATACATGCTACATAATATATTAGGGCATTTAACATTGTTAAATAAATTAATGTAAAAAATAAACTACCCAGGCTAAGCTACATGATTAAAATGGATATATCAGTATTGTCTTTTTAAAATAAAGATTGTATATTTACTTTGTCAACTCTTTTATAATTCCCTACTCTAACATGTCTAAGGTCATGCAAAGTCTATAAAAAATGTCTATTCAGTTTGAAAATAAAATTATTTTATTATTTTAAAGAGGTGGATTTAGGGGAGGTACATATATGGTTAATTCATAGCCTTTTTACATGTCCCACTTCAACCGTTGCCTAGTTTGGGAAGCCTTTTGCCCCTTTTTTCGAAATCCTGGAAACATATTTGTAACATTTTGTTACCTGCATTTCTTTCAGACAATACCTGTTAAATGAAAATATAAAAAAACACACTAGACTTGCACTTTCTCAATTAAATTTTTACAGGCCTTTTAAAGCTGACTATGTGGTATGGGCTTTGCTCATTGTCGAATGCGGTGCAGTGACCTATTGTTGTTAATTTCTGTGTCATTTGTTCTTTTGTTTTATTGGATATCATACCACATCTTTTTTTTTATATAATGTTCTACTTTTAGGCAAACATATATATTAAAATCATAGAATATCTACCAGCTCTAACTCAAAATATGGATGTTCACTTCCCATATGTTAAAAATACAAAACATGTACATTCATTTGTATGTAATAAAGAAATTATAAAAGTAACGAATCAATGAAATAACCTGAATAACCTTTTACATTTTGCCACTGTGAAAATAATTATAAGAACTATTACATGTACCCCCCTTTTTCAATTCCAACTGATTTATAAGCATAGCCTGATTTGAATTTATCTAACTTTTTAATTCTGTCCATGAAAAGTGTACTGTTCTAGCAAAACACATACTGATATAACTTTATTAATTAAGACATTTGACATAGAATTTAAAAAAGAGAACAAAATTCTAATACAACAGTAAATTGTTTGAAATATATAGTTCAGTATGCACCTCACCTTATCCATGTTATCATTAAATAATCAACACAGTATGATATGTGCCAAGTTTTACATGAATTATCTACAGGAGGGACCCAGATTTTTTGAAAAAGAGGGTGGTGGGGTTACTGATGGATGGACAGACAGACAGACTGACAGAGTGCAAACCAAAAGTCCATTCGACTTCGTCAGTAGGGGACTAATAATCTAAACTAACAACAGGGTAAATGAAAATTCTGTTTGCCATAGAAACTCCTGCCTTTTCCCCCGAAAAATCAAATAGTCATTAGTATTAATTAACTTATGGTGTCTGATGTAGACAACATTCTGTATGTATGTGCCTGTCCCAAGTCAGGAGCCTGTTATTCAGTGGTTGTCGTTTGTTGATGTGTCACATTTTTGTTATTGGTTCATTTTTTGTACATAAATTAGGCCGTTAGTTTTCTCGTTTGAATTGTTTTACATTTGTCACTCCGGGGCCTTTTATAGCTGACTTTATGGGCATTGCTCATTGTTGAAGGTCATTTGGTCTTTTGGAGAGTTGTCTCATTGGCAATCATACCATATCTTCTTTTTTATATATAACACAACTGCCAAGTTGCAAATAAATGGTGATTTAGTCAACACACCATGAATTACATTATACCATCGATCTTAGTTGTAAGATTAACCATGGTAATGTGCAACGACTCCTGGACCCTAAGTGGTCTGTAAATAATGTGTCATAACATTTACCACAAGTACACTGTACATTGAGCATCACTCATTTTAGTGTGGGTATTGCTGTGTTTTTGCTTATTCCAACCAGTCCCTGTCCTAAGTCGTGAAATTCTAGTCTTTTTTAGTCTTGTATGTATTTTAATTTTTGGTTCATTTATATGTTTTGGCGTTAAGTGTGACGTCCATTTTCCCTGGACAATACATTTTTGTTTAGGGGCTAGCTGGACCCTGCCTCCAGGGGCTGATTTTCTCGCTGTGTTGAAGACCCATTATACCCATAGTGGCCACAGGTCATCTTCTATTTGGTTGGATTGCTGTCCTGACATGTAATTTCCCCCGTTTCCATTCTCAATTTTATATAATTAAATTTAAAAAACACATTAATGTTTGTCCCTGTTTTTTGCTTTTTTTTCCATTTCCGTTAAAAAAATAACTTTCAAATGATTTTACGGTCGTGAATCTTTCTTGTGCTGGGATCATTCGAACACGATGTAAAAATTATATATCTTTAATAAACGAAGGATCGCATCGCTAGAAACTTAAAAAATACTTACATTTATGTTCATAGTTTGTTTACAAAATATTACATACATTTTACGCATATTTCCGGGTACTTTTCTAGTGTAAAACAAGTGTGAAACTGCTTCATAAGCTACTAAAATGAAGATCGTGTTCTAACATTTTCGATCTTTGTTTCAGTATTCATGAAAAGCAGCCCACGTGTTCAATTATTGTGATTTATCTTGTGTTTATCTTCTCACGCCGGCAAGAACATGCCATTACCACAAAACGGAAGTGCATTTACAACAATGAAAATAACAATAAATTTTTTTGTAAAATTCTAGAATTACAGTTTTCGATAACAACATTCTTTTGTTATATATTTAAATCAAATAGATTATTTATAATAATCAAAATAAATTATTATTGACAATTACGACAATAGGATGACTTACGATATCGATGCGCAACTTCCTGCGCAGTTGGCGCGAAAATTTGAACCCGCGAGCCCCCTTAAAGCTCAATTTCATCTATAATACTAGTATACAATCGGTCAAGGTAAAATATCAATAATAATGATTATCATAATTGAAACAAAATTGTTCTCACATACTAGTATTTCAAAGTATAATTATGTAATTCGTACAAGACGCACTTATTAGTCACTTATGAGTTCAATCATTATTAACCCTAAGGAATCAAAACCTTAAAACAGTATTTTACAAGTTTGAGATTTAGCTAGATCTATGTAAAACCCGGTTGAATCCACCATTTTCTACATACAGAAATGCCTGTACTTAGTCAGAAATATGACAGTTATTTTCCATTCGTTAGATGTGTTTGAGCTTTTGATTTTGCCATTTGATTAAGGACTTTCCGTTGTGAATTTTCAATTCCCTTTGAGTTCGGTATTTTTGTTATTTTACTTTTTACAACTGATCATGACAGAGCATAGATTTACTTGTGTAATACTTTGAAATCGGTACGCCAAAAATTTTTAAACTATAAGAACTTAAAATGTGTTATTTATTTGGTTAATATTCAGTAATTAGTTGTTGTTGCCATTTTATTTATTTATTTGATTGTTATTATTTGTTTTTGTTTCTAATTATTCTATTGAAACAGTTGTTGGATTACCATAACAGTTCATCAACAGCATCATCAGAAAAAAAATCAATATGGGTCTTATTTAACTGTTTTAAATTTAAGGTAATAAACTATGACGTCTTGTGCATAACAATCATCCGTATCTATTAAGGGCATACGATACAGTTACAGGGGAGGTTATGACGTTGCTAACGTAAATTGTTATTTTCGCGACGTCAAACTGTGACTTATCGGGAAAAGATGCAGTTTTCGACTGATTTTTATCATTCAAACTGATTTAACTTGAAAACGAGTTGATGGACCCCTCTTTTTTAAAGTGACATTTGGTTTGATAACGTATGAAGATTATGTATACCAACTTTCATGAATAAGTCAATAGTGCAATTTTTTTAAATTTCATAAATATACAGCAAAAAATGACGTTATTTTTCTACATTCATGAACATTTGATAAATATGAGTTAATTGTAAAAATAAAATGTACAAATTTATAGAACATTTATATAAAAAAGAATTTACAAATAATTTAACAAAAAACAGCTTGTGTTTATCTTTTTAAACAAAAAAGTTATGTATTTCTGTCGAAAGGAAAAATACGTCCACAAATCCGAATTTTGAGGAAATATCTGAAATTTCAACCTCAATTTACTCAAAAAGTAGCACATGATGGTATATTTTTTATTACATATTTGATTTAATCAGGTAAAAAATAGCCTATATGCAAATTTTCATCAACATTTCAATATGGGATCAAAACTGTATCGTATGCCCTTAAAGCGCACACTTGAGTAAGCGTCTCCGTGAAGGGTAATAGAGTATTTGCCATGGGATAGAGTAAATTGTCTCCCTCGTATTAACCAATCAAAATCTGGCATTTTTACATGAATTATAATAAAACGGCATGTTGTTTTTGTATTCATTCAATGTTCAAGATAATACATTACAATTTGGATTAAAACAGATATCTTATAAATTTAATGAGATATCTTCTATAACTTTCTTTATAAGATATCGAATATATCATAAAAGGTATCTGAACAAAACTTTATAGAATATGTCATATAACTAATAACATCCCTTCTAATTTTTATAAGTTACCATGGATATTTAAGAGTTAACAACATGATGCAGTACACAGAGAACAACATAATTAAGACATAGCAAGCACAGACGTACAGCTATTATGCAATTAAAATTTGTGATCTTATTTTCAATGCCGCAATGAATACCCTACATATCCTTTAATTTTTTTATAATGTTCGATGTAAATAATACGTCTTATTATATGACAACAATCTAGTGGAAGTTGGCCTAAAGGGTCGAGGACTAAAAGTATCTGGTGGTGGATTACCAGGAACGTATGTGGTGGAACAGTTCCATTTCCACTGGGGATCAGAAGATACCAGAGGATCAGAACATGAAATCAATGGAAAACATTACTCTATGGAAGTAAGTTAACAATGACAACTGGCATTTTAGGAATCCATGTATGTTGTGTGACTTTAATAATTTGTACAACGGAGGCTTTAAAAAAAGTGTAATGTTTTATCAAAGTTAGACAAACGTTACTTTTATTGACAGTTTGTGTATTTTTATTTTAGCAATTAGACTTTAATCTTGAATATATTTGATAATACTTGCAAGTACAAGACCAAGGGTTTCTAGACTATTGAGTCAAACGGTCACCGTAATAGTTTATTCTAAGTGCTTATTACACTCTGGACATGTGCTAATTAAGTCTAAAATTACTAGTTTATCTGAATACATTTACGCGATTTGAAAAAAAAAATATATCAGAAGGTATTCTTAGACTATGCCACTTTTGGTGATTTGTAAGCTGTGAAACTGTCAGTATACCTGAAGCGGTTTCATGATCATAATTATGAGGATTATGATGCGCATTTCTATGGTTATTTAGCGTGTTTCTGAAAATTTATTCATCTGACCAAAAGACCAAACGTTGTGAAAACAACAACAAATAACAATAACAGAAAACCTTTGAAAGCATCAACACTTTTCAGCCTTACACTACTGTCCAAGGTTAGGGGTAGGGTTGGGCGCCCGCTTACATGTTTAACCCCGCCACACTCTGTATGTGCCTGTCCCAAGTCAGGAGCCTGTAATTCAGTGGTTGCCGTTTGTTGCTGTATACATGTATCATATTTATTTTTCATTAATTTATTTGTACATAAATCAGGCCGTTAGTTTTCTCGTTTGAATTGTTTTACATTTGTCGTTTCGGGGTCTTTTATAGCTGACTATAGGGTATGGGCTTTGCTCTCTGTTGAAGTCCGTAGTTGTTAATTTCTGTGTCATTTGGACTCTTGTGGAGAGTTGTCTCATTGGCAATTATACCACATCTTCTTATTTTTATATTAAAGGGAAAAAACGTATGGGACACGTGTTAGACGTGAAATGTAAGGTTAGCAGTAGCACATCCTTAAATGCAAACTTAATAGATCTCTGATGTCAAAAGTATTGATACGCATGTGCACCTACAAAACAAAGGGAAGACGATGCTTAGATGCAATACAAACTATATGTTATTATCATATTCTTGATACTCACTTTTCTTTTTTTAGATGCACGTTGTAATGCATTCTGATAGATTCTCCTCTGTTAGTGATGCCATGAATACTACAAATGGTCTGGCTGTCTTGAGCTTCCTTTTTGATGTAAGTTGTACTAAAGAAAGCTGTAGTTTGTTCACAATGAATTTAATTGTGGGAGCATTGAGGTACATATTTGTATCAAAACTTAATTCCCTATAGATTTATTACAATAATTGATTGCTGGCGACTGCACACTTTAAAAAATATGTTGGCAGGTCTACTAGGAACAAAGTATATTTTCAAATTAAAATTCAAAAAAAAAAAATTTAATTCTGAGACTGAGCGAAATATCTAACATATGTCGAAAAATTAAAGGCTTGTTGGAAAGGAAATATAAGATAGAAACGTGTGCCAAAATTGTATTCTCGTTCGCCACGTTATGTACTGTATTGTTGCCATAGAAACCAACTTTAAAAAAAATGTTGAAAATGGTTTTTTTTGTCTTTCTAATTTAAAATTGTTTAAATGTTTAAAACAAAAATAGGCATTTTATAAATTGTATGCGTTGATGTGTAAAAGAAACTAATAAACACATGATTACAATTTGGACAATAACTCTTTTCTTTTCAGATTGGTAAACATAATCACAACTTTGACGAGATCATCTACCATTTACATTCAATAGAACATAGAGGTAATTGTAACAAATCATAAGTGGAATTGTACCATGCGAACGTATAGATTTCGGGGCGTTTATGAATAATCTCGATTGGTATTATTTAAAGAGGACACGAAGACTTCAGAATGAGTAACATATAAAGCTTTTAAAAGTAAATTCTAGAATTTTCAGTTATACATGTTATATATGTAAAAACAAATACCTTCATTGATATTATTGGACAGTATCTTAATTGATTACCTAGCGACCATTTTGGAATTTCGGACTAGCATATAATTATTCAGAATAATATAGCATAATTATCCATTTATATACATAAAAGAGACTGTGAAATGTAAGAGTGCCTAAACAGTATGTTTTGCATTACTTACTTTGTTTTGAACGGTCGTCCGTTTACCAGTTCGAATACAATACAAATATTTGAATGTGAATAAAAGTAACATAAACCGAGCGAAAATATCCATATAGGTAAACAAATCCATAAAAATGTACAAAGAAAAAAGTTAAATAAATAAAAAAGTTCATTGTCTTCAGTTTAAATGTGTTTCATAAAGGATCCTGTGCCTTCTATGATATGTAATTTATTTTCTCGTTTTTTGCAATTAAAAAAAATCATTGCTTAATATGTGGTAAGATGTTCGTCAATGAAACCCTGTTAGGTCGCGTGTTAACAGTTCCTCCTTCTGTGTTCGAATTGCAGGCAAGGAATTTGAGGTCAGAAGGGTTGCAACTGTAACATTGTTGTCGAACGGTGTAAGGCGTAAACTAATTAAACCTTTTTTGAAGGCATGACGCCATCCCTGAATTCATTGATTGATTGACCTGTGTAAAAAAAAGTTTTACGTTCCTAGCATAAATTGTTTTGGCCAATGTTGATTCAAATTCTTTTAAATGACTTCGTTACTTGCCTTGAATGGTTAGTTTAAATGGTTTGTAATACATATGAAATGTCCTGAAAAAATAGCTTCTACCACGCTAGTCGTCTCAATTCGAGATACATATATTTTCATATTTTCTAAATCAAAAAGAGATGCTCTTATTTATTTTATTTTTTATTTTTTTTTTTTTTTTATTTGGAATTGACTAGGAATGAAAGTATACGAATGACTCATGTTGAGCGAGTACAATGATCCTACAGAGAAAACAAATCTAGCATTGTTACAATTGCTCAGAATAATCTCAACTATAGAAACTTGAAAATTCTTGTTAGCGCTTTCTTAGCTTCACGCTTGTAATAAGTTTGAAAGGTACATTGTATGTGATCATATTAATGTTCTCCTTTGACATATTTTTGAAAAGTCAGGTAAATATAGGATGAAATTTGAAAAAAAGGCAGAGGAGGAGTTTTGAGTAAAAGAAAAGGGCAGGATGAGCAACTTGGGAAAAAAAGGCAGGATGACAATTTATGTAAAAAAGTCAGGATAAACTAATGAAAAAAAGGCAAGACCCAATAGAGTGAAAAATGAAAAGGCAGGACAGAGATTACAACTAAAAAAAAGGCAGGACAAAATTTTTCATCCTAGCCCCGAAACAAATCAAATGGTAGCTCCCTTATTATTTCTTTTTGTTTAAACAGGTGGGCATGTTAGTCTTCACTCATTCAGCATGACTTCTCTGTTCCCATCAACAGATTGCTTCTACAGATACTATGGTAGTCTGACAACACCAATGTGTTATGAAAGTGTTATCTGGACAATATTTAAACATCACATTTATATTTCCGAGTCTCAGGTTTGGATTTTTTTTCTTGTTAGAAAAAATGAAAAACAACACGTTATAAATTTCAAGCGTCCGAACAATTTGTTGCTATTTTAATATCGATTTCTATACTTAATTTTCTACCCGGTCAAAACAATTATTTTCCACTTTTTGGGGACAGGATACTCATAAAACTTCAATACTTAATTGATAAGGTTGCCGCTGGGGTTATGTTACCCCACCCTTTTCATATAATTAAGATATTTTAAATGAACACCATTTAATATATTGCGAAGGTAAAAATGTAACATTTTCCCATATTGGTTGAGTTTCGGCCGACGGCTGGAGTGTTGGAAAAGTGGTGTTCCAAAGTGTCAACAGATGGAAAATGTGTTGACCTTATCATATATTTCTTATAGTTTTCCCCACCTATTCACATATTTTCAAGCCGGAAATGTGACCTATTTCAGCGGAACATCCTTGGCTAGCAACTTGTATATAAGAAGTCCCCCCGCACCCCCGAGCTCCAGGGTTACAGAAGCTAGAGTTTGCATTTGCTGCTCCACTAGTGGCACATATCGTGTTGCAAAATCACTTAAACATCCGGCAAGAAGGCCAAATGTTGGTGATGTTATACAATGAAAAAAAGTTATTTGGATTTTGGTTCGTATAAGAATTCATCTGTATCACTAATATTATAATGATGGCGTCCGTAGAACCCTTGAAAAAGATGATCGATGAAGTTAAATATGTTATACAAAGATTTGATATAGAAGATTATAATAGAGGATGAATGTCATTTATTTTTCAAAACCCTTAATTTATTGGTATCTCTATTAACAACATCATAATTGTATCAAATCTTGACTTTAACTTACTCTTGCAGCTGAACCAGTTCCGACATCTAGGGAGAACACATTTCATTGGAACAGGTGATCTTATTAACAACTATAGGAATCCTCAACCATTGAATCATCGGGTTGTCACCTCAAACTGCATTAGTTCCGGTTCTTCTTCTTGTGGTAGTGACAGTGACAGTGATAGCGACAGTGACAATGACAGCGACAGTAGCAACGACTGTGTTAGCGATAATGATAGCGATAGTGATAGCGATAGTGATAGCGATAGTGACAGTGACTCGGACGACATAAATATTATCACAGTGTTACGCAATCATTTCGAGTCGGAAACTAGAAATGCTAAAAAGTTGGAGACTAAACATGCTAAGAAGTTGGCTACTAACAGTGATAAAAAGCCGAAGACTAAAAATGCTAAGAAGCCGAAGACTAAAAAGGCTAAGAAGTTGAAGGCTAAACGTGTTAAGAAATCAAATACGAAAAGTGCTAAGAAGCTGAAGACTAAAAGTGCGAATAAGCCGGAGATTAACAGATCTAAGAAGTTGGAGACCATAAGTGCTAAGATGTCGACGATTAGAATGATAGATAGTGACAGTGACCTTGACAATTACAGTGACAGTGACAGTTATGATAACAGTGACAGTGCCAGTGACAGTGACAATTACACAGACGATACAATAATGGAGACATAAATACCATCATCGTGTTAAGAAATATTTCCGATCGAATGATATGGAAAGTTTAAACAAACAAAACATGTATGATAAAAAAACAACGTATAAACGTGTCATAGTTAAGAAATTAATGTATCACTAAAAATTGTATTTATTATAATGAAGGGAAATATTCTATGAAATAAACGAATTAAATCTTATTTACAAAACATGCCTTTCCAATAGACATAAATTATTTATCTTCCCGGATTACATATTACGTCAGGTAAAATCGGAGCTACATGTAGCACATGTATCATCAAGGCTTTAGCATTAACACGATCTTGCATTATCCTTAAAAGAACGGATCTAAGACTTCGGTAACAGGACAGAAAAACACTTCTATGGGGAAAAAGATCTGCATGTTTTGTGATATATATGATCATTTCAACCACCATTTAAAAAAAAAGTCCGTGATTGTATATTTTTGGTCAGCTAAAAAGAGAAATCACTGATTAAAATCAAAAGAATGTTAACCAGCTTTTTATTTAAAAAGCATCTCATTAACACGGCGTAACTTTTTTTAAAAATCGCCCTTTGTTTTGTATTTCATTCAAATGAAAATTTGAAAAACTGAACGATGTGATTAAAATTTATCAAACTGTAAGATACATGTGCCTTGTTAAGAGATCCGCGCTCTTCTTTTGAATTTTATTTATTAACAAGAGCCTGAGAAATGACTCACCTTTTTGGTTGTATATCTTAGATTTTTTATATCTTAAATGTTCTTAAAAGAAGTCATGTTGTTTTCTCTCATTTTATTTGTTCTTGCTCACATCCATACAATTTTTCAATAACTGTAGTAATCGGTGCATTACAATTGCGCGCATTACCATTGCATTTGCGCGCAAAAATCTTTACGTTTGCGCACAGCTTTTGATTACATTTGCGCGCATTTGTTTACAGGTAAAATTATGTAAACTCGTGTGATACTTTTTTATTTAAGTATCATTTTCGAGCAGGTTAAGTCCGTTTTATTTTGCACAATTACTTAGTATTGGAAATATATATAGATAAGGATATAAAAATATAGCAAATTTGAAAATTAAAAGTAGTCTGTAGTACGCCTGGATTCTGTTGACGGTAATGATGCCCAAAGAGGCAATAGGGAATCTGGTGAAATACCTTTGCAATTATTTACGGTGCATCGCCATGAAATATCACCCAACTTAAGTGTTCTGTCGATACGGAAACTAAATCCATCGTACGCTAATGATTTTTCTCCGATTTGTTTTTGACAAACGAAACTCCATGTGTGTGTCTTGATGCAACTTTACAAACTGACTTAAATTATTTACTAAAGCGATCACTATTCGATAAAATTAGGATAGAGAAAAAGAGAATACTTTTTACTCTGAAATATTCACAATAAAGTTACATGCATGTCTTTAGCTATTACGGGATTTCTCATGATCACTTTATTTTTTTTTTTAGAATTCAAATTGAAAATATATAATTTAAATTTACAAATATTTTCATAATTCATAATAACTATAGCCATGTTTATTATGAGTTATCTTTATTTTTACCTGTATTACCTGTAAAATGAATGCGCGCAAATGTAATCGAAAGCTGCGCGTAAAAGTAAAATAATTTAATCCCCAAATGCGCGTAAATGTAATGCGCCCGTAGTAAATACGCGCTGTCCTATTCTTCTTGGAAAATCGATATAAAGGGACAGAACGTGTAAATTATGGTGATTATAAGATTTTGCGGATAACAAAGCATAAAATAAGGAGAAAAAAAGTTCGAATATACTAAAGTGTATACTCAAGAAAAAAGGTGTCTATATCCCAATCTCCTGTGGCTTCATTTCTATACGTTTTCCCTTACTTTCTGTGCGTATTTGTCTAGGAAAATTTTGACTGATTTATTTGTTGTGATGAGAACATTAGCACAACCCAAAAAATACAAAAGATACTTCACTTACATATGTAGATGTATTCGTTTTAGCTACAATATTACCACTTATATATATATAAAAAAAAAAAGAAAACCATTCAAAAAATCAAACAATAAAAACCTTGAATTTGAGATTATATATTGTTACCTTCATTACCAACGCTCTAGCCAAATAAAATGAAATCCAATGGTGTATTACTATAAGAATACAAGATAAGCTACAAGGCCAAAAGGAATCCAATAATGTACAAAATGTATTACTATGAGAACACATGAGAATCTACAGTAACAAACGGAATCCAATGATGTATTACTATGAGAATATATGAGAAGCTACATAACCAAACGGAATCCAATGATGTATTGCTATGAGAACACATGAGAATCTACAATACCAAACGGAATCCAATGATGTATTACTATGAGAATATATGAGAAGCTACATAACCAAACGGAATCCAATGATGTATTGCTATGAGCTCGAGAATACATGAGAATCTACAATACCAAACGGAATCCAATGATGTATTACTACGAGAATACATGAAAAGCTACAATACCAAACGGAATCCAATGATGTATTGCTATGAGAATACATGAGAAGCTACAATACCAAACGGAATCCAATGATGTATTGCTATGAGAATACATGAGAAGCTACAATACCAAACGGAATCCAATGATGTATTACTATGAGAATACATGAGAAGCTACAAGATCAAAAGGAATCCAATGATGTATTGCTATGGGAATACATGAGAAGCTACAATACCAAACGGAATCCAATGATGTATTACTATGAGAATACATGAGAAGCTACAATACCAAACGGAATCCAATGATGTATTACTATGATAATACATGTGAAACTACAAGACCGAAAGGAATTTAAAGTATTTAAAAATACAGTATTACTTGGAGATTTGTAAAATAAATCAAATAGAAATAAAAGACTGAAATTTAAAACAGTTCAAAAAGAAATGTCCAAAGTTCAACTCTGCACGTTGGGAATCCTTGCAACAACTCTTTGAGGGGTCCGTAGGTAACCATATGTTGCATAGCAAATTGCTGTCCCTATTCAATACATCCTCATTTTAATTTGCAGTTGCGGTACAAATTTCCAGACCATTATCCCGGACGGCCCCCTATTACAGGACCTACCTATTGCATTTATTGTGAATATGCATGAAATATTTGTCACTGGACATTAAGCAACCGACAATCATTCAATCCAAACATTTTTACTGTGGATACGTTATGTGTGAAAAAAACACTTCACAAATCGAGATTACTTTTATCAAAATATTTTTTAACGAATTCAGTTTGTAAATACCTTTATAAGTTGTATAATATCATACACACGATATTTATAAATTACAGGTTAATACATCATAACATGTATCTGATTGACAGTTTAGTTTCTTTAGTGCATGTTTAGGACGACAATAAAAGTTAAACATCCCGCACAGCCAAACTAGAGGCACCTTGGCGTTGTTCTTTTTTGCTGGAAGGTAGAAGTCATCAATCCTCGGGTTTATAAGTTAATAGAAACGAACAGAACAAAACTCGGCAACATCGATATTTTTTTTTCACAAAAGGTTAACGTTAGTGGGATGTAGATAGACATCAAACTTTTCATCAAGGGCTTTTCTTCTTTGTGATAATCTATTATAACAAGCCTCTTTTTTTTATAAACAACAAAACAACAACACAGTAATTGATGTATTCTAAGATGTAATCTGTTTTGTGAGATGATTAGCAAAAACCTATAGGGAGTTTGGCTTTTAATGTACAATCTCGTACTCTTTATATATACAAATAAATAGGTGTGGTATGGTTGCCAATGAGATAACTCTCCACAAGAGACCAAATGACACAGACATTAACAACTATAGATCAGCGTACGGCCTTCAACAATGAGTAAAATCCATACCGCATAGTCAGTTATAAAAAAGCCCTAAATGACCAATGTAAAATAATTCAAACGAGAAAAATAACGGCCTGATTTATGTACAAAATAATGAACGAAATTAAAGCAAATATGATATATAGCAACAAACGACAACCACTGAACTACAGGCTCCTGACTTGGGACAGGCACATATCGAATGTGGCGGGAAGGCGCCAACCCTCTCCTTACCTGGGACAGTGATGTAACAGTACAACATAAGATCAAACTATAAAAATCAGTTGAAAAGGGCTGAACTCATCAGAAGATACAAAGCAGAAATACATCTAACAAAAACACAGAGTGGACGTGGCAGGGTACTTGTACATCCCCACAAAACTCTATTCTATGCATTAGTATTACAAATGTAATACATGGGACAAAGTACATTTGTAACTGTATATTATGTAATTATAAAAATTATAGCTTAATTAAACTAATTAAATATATAAATTAAGTGTTATTCATATAAGAAAGAAACATTTTATTTGAAAGCTATGAATACGCATTAAAGAGGCTGAGACTGAAATAAAATATATTACTTCAGTGAAACAAAATATATTTTATGTTAGGCGCTCTAGGGTATAGAAAGTAACTGTAATGAACTAAATTAATTGTAGCTTAGTATAAACATGAACTATTTACAAGTCAGCAATCTTTGTCCGCACTATATATCATGGCATATATATGTCTTTATAGGTAAGTACAATCCCATGGGTCAAGGCAAACACACTACATTACATGTATTAACTATATCTGGTGTGTTTATTCTACTTCTATGTTCAGCATCCATATAGGTTAAATGATATGGGTCAAGACAAATACAACATTGCATTCATTTATTTTATCTGTCGTACATAAAATGGTCAAAACATACAGTTTATTCGGTGTAAAAGAACACACTTTTAATCAAACATGTTACATATAACGATATCATACGAATATGTGATATCTTAAAAGGATTAAGAATTCCCTTTAATTACTGAATTATTCCACAAAATTATAAACTAAACCGTGCCGCTTACAATAAACGTTCACTTTGTAGCATAAGCCGACGTTTAGAGCAGGGCAAATATTTAACTTTTTTTCATAGAATTAGATATACGCACTAGAGAGGTTCTGATTAATG